TTTCTTCCTCTTACACACGACTCTTGTATCGTTTTGAAATTTCTGCTTTGAAGAGATTGATCGCAAATGTATTATTTTTGTTGTAAATAATGTTATACTGAACGTATACATAGCATACACGTCTTTAGCAAATATATTTTTTGAGATATTATTAATGTCTGATGTCTCCTCTCCAACCCGTAGCTTGAATGATGTTTTGTTGATGAATATCTGATTATATATTATATAGTGTTGAATTGACTTATATTGAGTACAGTTTTGAATCAATAAGGTGCATATTTCGTTTTGAGTTTTATTTCGTCCAAAAAGCACTTGAAACATTTCATTTGAAAATGGTTTTATTATTATTTATTATATGTATATTTTCATGCATTTGTGTGTATTTGTCTAGTGAAGCACAATATTATTGTGTGCAACCGTCTTCATCCTGAAGATGATCCGTATGTTACTTGGTAGAGATTTTTTGTTTGCTTTAATTGCACTCTGGGTACCAATAGCATTGTATAACGGAGGTAACAAAATAAAATTTGTAAATGAACATTCTTTTATTTATTTTTTCTTCATCGATCCTCTAGAAAATGAGCTTTATTCCTTTTCTACTCACATAACTAAAATGGCATTTAGCGTACGGATATGCAGGTACCACGCTAAATGATCGATTAATCACGGATTTTCGATCTGTGATTTATTCAAAATATTAAACACGTTACCATGGCAACACGATTTCTTAAACACATTACCATGGCAACGCAGTTCATTAAACACAGCTTCAGTATTTTGAGACATGTCTGGCCTGTCAATATTGTATTAACTGTCAACTGTCATTTTCAAATTTTGTATCAGAATTATTTGCACAATATTCGTTTGTATCAGAATTCGTCATTAAAAATATATGCGACAAGTAGACGAAAGTGAAATCGGAGAGAATGTTCTGGTACTTATTGATGCATATCTCCAAGAAGTGTAAAAATGAAGCATCCATCTTTGAGAACAATTTATTTATTCTGCTCTAAGCATGACAATGAACGTGAAACAAAGGTTAGTAAGCAATGGACTGGACATTTACAACCAATATCACTTACATGTGACTCGCTGGTTGCATGCAGTTGCATGTATTATGTTCTCAATTTCCATTCCTTTCGAATTATTTTGTAGGTTAGCAGGAATTGCAGGTATATAGGTCGCGTGCAAGAACTGTCAGATGACCGACCCTGGAGGCAAAACATATTTGTTTACAAGTGATCGAAATAGTTTTCCACAATTATTTTGGCATATGATTCGTATTTTTCCGCTATTCATCAATTCGCTAATGCCATCACATTGTGCTGTTGTAAAATGCACAAAAACTGCAGCGGAAGATGAAGAAATCCGGATGGTACATTATGATTCAAAAGTAAGTACCTACTATAGTCACTCACATAGTTTTCATTTTTGAAATTTGGTTATTTCTTTGATTTCTCATCGGAATTCCTCCTGCAATAGGATCAGCTAATAGAAATATACCTGAAATTTCTAGAATAATGCAAGAAGATTGGATTCATGCAATCAATCGGTAGGACTGGTCTGACATGCTGACGATCGTGTGTTGTAGACATTTTCAATCTATTAGCAGTATTAGCTTGTATTGCAGAAGTGGCAGAAGGCAGAAGGAATTTTAATAAGGAATGACAACATTTCATAATGCTAACTATGTGAGATTACTATTCACCTGAAAAATCATATTTCCTAGTCTCTTGCTACATTTTTTGTGCATTGTACAACAGCACAATGCGAAGGCATGCTTGAATTAATGAATAACGCAAGAAACACGATTCGTATGCCAAAATATTGTGAAATTGTGAAAAACTATTTCAACCTTTTGATTCCTCTGTAACCAAATAAAAAAGTGAGGTTGTGTTTCAATAATTCACAGAAGAATGAGGTTGTGTTTCAATATTTTGCCTCCAGGGTCGGTCTTCGTGCACGCGACCTATTGATGTTATTTCCGGAGTTCGTAGAAAAATCATAGTATATAACGCGTTTATAAACTCTTCTAGACACTCGTTTATTAAACACTCTCGCTCCGCTCGTGCTTAAATACTACTCGTTACTAAAATGACGTTTTTATAACACTTGTTACATAATATACTATTACTTATTTTAGATATTTTGAATATTTTTTTCTCAATAGTATTAAATTTCATTATTTATCAATCATTATAATATGATTTCTATACCTTCCTACGCAAAACTGAAAACAGACACCTTTAAAAAATGTTCAGTGAACTAAACTCCTTGATAAAAAACTGAACGTGTAAGTATACCGGGTGGTCCATTTTAAGACTATCCACCCTCGATATCTTCTAGAATTATTATTTTACAAAAAAATTACGAAACAGAGGCCGATTTTCACATGGAAGGGGACACCTTTTGATGCGAAATAAATAATCCATATACTTCAACCCTTTACTCCCCAGAGCAAAACCCACAATAATATGAATAGGGAATGAGGGTCATGTTATACATCATTGCCAAGGTAGGTAATTCAATTCTGAAACTAGCATCAGTGGACCGTTTTTTGAATTCCAACGAGTCGTTCTCGAGAAATTCGAGTTCGAATGGTATGTTTTTTAATTGTGAGTAGATGAATGTGAATAATAGATTATTGAACAGGTATTCACAAAAGATGTTCAAAATTGCCTCCATTGACTCCCAGACAGTGGTAGAGTCTATGAAAATTCCTCTTGTACGTTTATTGGGAATTTTTCTCTTGATATTGCCTGGCATTCAGTTTTTATTTTTCTCTCCAAATCATCGAGGTCAGTATAGGTATACCGTTTTATAAATTACCAATTTAAAATAACCCCATAGAAAGAAATCATTGGGTGCCAAGTTCGGCAGACGTGCTGTCCATTCTATTAGTCCTCTACGGACCTCTATGATGATGGTAATCAAAATCTATTGGCAGATATTATTTATTTTCAACAAGATAATGTGTCACCTCATTTCGTATCACAGGTGAGAGAATGGATACCCCAAAATTTCCCAAACAAATAGATAGGTCGTGAAGGACCATTAAAATGGCCAGCACGCTCGCCGGACATGACACCTAAGCACGAATACAAAGATATTCTGTTAATTTTTCATCAATTTGAGGTGGTAATTTTTAAATTTGGTTGGTTGTCTATTTGAGGATTTGTTAATTCTTCGATGGAATAATGTTCAGATATTTCATCACTTCCGGTTTGGTCTGACGAATGGAACTACCGGAACCAAAACTCTAGAAACTGATGGATTTTTTGAACTTCCGTACGCCACTGATCATTGTCATTGGTCACAAATATTTTTAAAAGAGAAGAAGTAATCGGGCAACGAGTAAACAGGAACAAGTTAGTATAAAAAAGAAGAATTATGACATCTGGTCAGCATGTTGTCAGCTTGACAGTTTGATGGCAGACCTACGTGAAGTGGGCTGCCAGAGCTGGCTGCCAGAATTTCCGAACTTTCCCGATCGACCAGTGGCACACGTTTCCCCCCTTTTTGGGTAGGGAATATCGAAATTCCTCAACTGCTTTTGTTTGCTATGATGCGATGTATGTAGAGCTCGGCGATGAATATCTAATCCATTATTATCAAAATTGATATTAAGCAGCGAACTTGAAAAAAAAAACAATAATTTTGTACTGTGAAAGCACTGCACAGCTGCTTTTGGGTCTCGAATCATTCTCTATAGAGTCTATAGAATAATCATTCCTCACCAGATCATATAGGTATGACCCAAAATCAGCTAAGCAGTTTTTTGCAAAAGTATCGAAAGAAAAATATATTTTCGAAAAATCTGCTTTTTTCGTGTGGAGTCTACCAAACGATTTGGCAAGGAATTATTTTCTGATAGCATGATTCTCCACATGCTTACCTATCTTTCTGACCCAAAAGCAGTTGAGCAGTTTTTTGCAAAAGTATCGAAAAAAAATATTTTCGAAAAATCTGTTTTTTTCGTGTGGAGTCTACCATACGATTTGGCAAGGAATTATTTTCTGATAGCATGATTCTCCACGTCATTACCTACCTTCCTGACCCAAAAGCAGTTGAGCAGTTTTTTGCAAAAGTATAAAAAAAAATATTTTCGAAAAATCTGTTTTTTTTTCGTGTGGAGTCTACCAAACGATTTGGCAAGGAATTATTTTCTGATAGCATGATTCTCCACATGATTACCTATCTTCCTAATCCAGAAGCAGTTGAGCAAGTTTTTGCAAAAGTATCGAAAAAAAATATTTTCGAAAAATCTGTTTTTTTCGTGTGGAGTCTACCATTCGATTTCACAATGAATTATTTTCTGATAGCATGATTCTACATAATATGATTACCGATCTCCCTGACCCGAAAGCAGCTGAGCAGTTTTTTGCCAAAGTATCGAAAATAAAATATTTTTGAAATTTTATAGTCTTTCATACCTATGATTTGGTAAGGAATGATTATTCTATAGACTCAATAGAGAATGATTCGAGACCCAAAAGCAGCTGTGTAGTGCTTTATAAATCGCATCATCGCAAACAAAAGCAGTTGAGGAATTTCGATATTCCCTACCCAAAAAGGGGGGAAACGTGTGCCACTGGTCGATCGGGAAAGTTCGGAAATTCTGGCAGCCAGCTTTGGCAGCCCACTTCACGTAGGTCTGTGTCAGTACTGTCAGTAGAATAGAAATTCTGAAGTTCATTTTATTTTATAGCATTATTTGTAACAGGTTCAGGTACAGACAGTTTAATTGAATTTTTTATTCCACAAATCATAGTTGTACCTACCTGAAGATTATTGAATCATTATTAGAACTGATTTTAAAATTTACCACAAGACAGGTTTCTAGGAGGGTTCCTTTTTCCATTTAATTGACTTCACAGTATGTACTATGTACCTAATATATAATACATCACCTATCACATCAGTTCAATTCAGCTGTTCAATTATATTTATGACATTAATTCATCAAATTTTTATTCAGCTCTCTTTCAGTCTCACCACAAATGGCGGATTATGACAAACAATTCCAAGAAGATTTGGAAAGAGCCCAAGCACTGAGCCTAGAATCCTTAGCCCTTGAACAATTCAAGACCAAGAAATTACAAGAACTGAATAGGTCTGCTACAAGTGTGTCAGTTTCCTCCAAACCAAAATCTACCAGTGGTAAATGTAGTAAATGCAAATATATAAATGTTTCTTGTATTACCAGCATCTTGGTTTTCAGTAACTCGAGCTTCATCTATGAGTGAAACTGATTCAGTGCAGATCAGGTATGACAGACAGCAGAGCAAATCAAGACCTAGGCCAGGTGTCCAAACAAGCAGCTTAACAAGTTCCCTTCTAGCACCACCTCCTCCGTCCCATAGAAAGAATAGCAATGCCAGTGATTCACCAGATTTGATTTCTTTTTCCAGCCCACCTCCTGTTACTACTAGTTCTACAGATATTATTGATTTTTGTAGACAACAAACGTAAGTATTCCTTGAGAATCAGGTGGTTTCTTCCTTCAGCAATTTTTGTCTTGTCAACTCACTTGATTTTGGTAGCTGGAACAGTGATTTGGAGTTGAAATTGTTGAAAAGATAAGACTAACAAAATGTTCACTTGCTTGTGAAAACTTCTAGTGAATACATGGAAAACAGCTTAGCATAGAACTAAGTAAGTACCTCCCCTTTTCTCACTTGTCAAAATATTTCATAACCACAGAATATTATTGCACATCTATTACTATTGAAACTATATTGAGTTGATGATGACTTGTTGCTAAAGAATTAACTTGAAAATGTGTATGAAAAATATACCATATTTTGACTTTTCCATAGCATATTGCAGCATATTTCTGATTCATTTATTTTATTTGTTTAGTAATTTATTCAATAATAGGCATTAATATTTGAAAAAAAAAATACATTTCATATATAACTTAATGAATTGAACCATATTGAACAGTATCTGACTGAAAAGGGCTATAGTAAGTTTCATTGTACATAAATGTACATTGACCCCAATCTTCCCTATAGCCCCTATTACCCTGATTGAATTAACAAATAATATCATTCCAAATCCAATCCATAAAGGATATTTCCTGAGTAGATTAATTGATATGATTGATTATCTTATCTGGAATAGCCAATCTCAACTGGGTTCAAGTTTTGGAAAATGTTTTAATAAAGTTTAGTTACAAATATGTTATTACCATATTTTCTAAAAGGATGTGTTTTTGAGATGGGTACATATATTCAGCCTTATATTCAGGACATTGAAATAATATCATTATCATTATATTACTATTGATATTACATTTGCATTGCTATAATATTTTTTTTTAGTATTATCATTATCATTACTCACTGCATGTTGCACTGGAGATAAGTACTCTGAAATGTTGAGGAACATGTAATTAGGCTCTGCCTGTTTGTTTCTACTATTAAATAAATAAATAAATAAATATGATACAGACATATATTCCCAAAATATTAGATTTTTTCAATCCTTACAAGGAGAAATTTCATCCTGGAAAATGAATATAAAACAGTAAAAAAATTAAATGCACCACTTTGAATCAATTTAAATGATTGAACTCCCCATGATTTGAACAGAGGTGATGTCAGAATTGTTACAGGGTAGAACTTCGGGCGTCATTGGGACAATATTGATATTTTTCAATATTTTCTGAAATACAAAATGTGTGGCATGGAGTAGTGTTTATATGTAAAGTGAATGCAAGCTTATGAGTTAAGTTGATTAGATGGCCATTTCATAGGTACAAGGGTAAAAAGTTGAAAAGATAGGGCTAACTTTACTCAAATTATAATGATTTCTATATATTATGTTCCATAAAATATTATTACAAAATAATATTGAACATTGCCAGACACTTTCTGCCAATAAGTTTTGTCTGGGGACCCTGGGCTCATGGACTATAACAAAAGTAACAAAACTGGCCGATTAAATGCCAATATTACTGAAGCATTACTTCCACTAATTTCTGTCCTATTTTAAAAGTATTAATTCACACATGGAATTTGAGGTTATATAGGGAAAATATTAGTTTACTTATGATAAAAATGATATCTACTATCATAACAGAGCTAAACTTCTTGTATTCAGTTATCCATATCATGGTAAGAGCATGTGAAATCCATTGCTTTTGCTTGGTAATAAAATTTTTGGAATATGTAGAACTCAAAAACTCATTTTCTTTGGGTATCTGAAATGAAAAATTCGTAAATTTCAAATTATCTTCAAATCACAGCTCAATATACAGAGTAATTCACATAGGTAGGCCACACATCAGAAAAACTTGACTCTTGGTACATATTGTATATCTGGATGACTAAAAATATTCCAAGTAGATTGGAAATTATCAATTATAACAGCATTTCAATTTTTAATACATATTTTTGATTCAACTGCAAGTTGCAAAACTTCTAATGTGTGGCCTATGTAGATCACCCTGTATAGCTTGGTGCAATAATAGCTGAGTGGTCGCAAAGGCTCAAAAGTTTGAGGTAGATGGTAAATCCAGAATTGGCTGGAATCATTTGAGGCTTTGTTTTCACAAAATAAACCTTTCTGGTTTTTAACTGTATGATAATTTGCTTCGTTTTCTTGAAAATATTGTTTCTAAAATACTACAGGAATCTTCAAAATAACGCTCTCGCGGATTTTTATTCCATTAGTTTTTCTTCAAAAAAATATATATTTGCCTATTCCCTAATTTTTGGATGGAGCAATCAAAAATAACCTTTCTGGTTTTCAACTGTATATTCTATTTTGCTTCTTTTTCTAAAAAATATTGAAAACCAAAACTCATGTTGGTAAATGTTATGTTAATCATTTCTCTCACCCTTCAAAGTAGATGGAATTCTCATTTTGTGCTTACCTCTTATGAAAAACATTTGCCATATTTTTTTAATTTTCACTACTTTCTTCTTCAGGCGCGTATACAGCTTTGTTACATAAAGCAAAGAAGCGTCACAGGTGGAATGTTGTTGTTGTTCAAGGTCAAATGCCTTTAAATTGGTCATTAGGTTCAAATTCAGTTTGTTTTATTCACCTGGAAATTTGAATTTCCTATAGGCAAAGCAATCTAATTATAAATTTCTGAATTTCTAAAAAAATGCTTGAGTGTAATTTGGTATGACGGACGATTTAATTCTTTAATTTTTCCACTCGGAGACTCTAAATCGCGACATTTCCACAAATTATATATTTTTCTGACAAAGCAAGTTTGAGAAAAAATGATATAAAACACCATCAATAGTTATTTATTATACAAGGGAAAAAAGTAGTAGATTTTAGCTCCAGGTTGTGTTGTCTCCCGACGCGTAGCGGAGGGAGACAAAAAACCGTGAGCTAAAATCTAATATTTTTCCCGTGTATAGTACACTATTTTTTTCTGTGACAGAAGGAAGGACGAATCAATATTGAGAAGATATTACATTATTTCGAAATCCGAAAATTATCGACGTGAAATTTCAAGTTTTCAACAGTAGGGACACCTGCGTTTTATAGACATCCTTATCATTCTTTTGAAGTAATCAAATATCTGATGTCACTTCTGTCAGTTCAATTCTGTGATTTGATTTTAAAAAATTGCGAATTCTGTAGTTGTTTAGTAATATACGAAACCGCGAAGTCGAATGGAAGATATTAAAAGGACTTGCAGTTCTTTCTCGGAGACGGTATTATTGACTCATTTTTCGGAACTATAGCACAACAAAAGCCATTAACAGAGTATATATATGTGATATATATTCGGGAAAAAAGTACTTACTTTTTTCCCACGGGAAAAAAGTAATTTATGAAAAGTGACATTTTATAACCTGCCAACAGAGATGAAATGCCAAACTTTTTTCCAGTCACAGAAAAAATACTTGTTTACAATTTTGGTTGTCATGCTTTCAAATGTTAAGTTTCCGTATTGTCGCTGGAAACGTTAGAGCAAACTCCTTCTGCTGTCATAATGACAAAATCACAGTGACTGACTTAGTATTCTATCCACGTTGGATTGCCGGTAGATGGGTTTGATAACGGTTTGATTCGCACCACGACCGCAGAAATTTTTCTGATGGCCTCAAAAAGTGTTTGGGATCACACGTTAACAGGTTAGACCCCCGTCATTCCTAGCTCGAACAAGTCTCTTGAAGACTTTTGAGAGTTTTTATTTTTTTTAAATAAAGGGCGTACAATCTTTTTTCAGAAATCTGCAGTATACATTCCGTTCCGACGCCACTGGTAGAGATATTAAAAAATCTTCTTTCTTCATCAAAAAATGCCTATTGGTGCTTAGTATATAGGTGCATGAGCAATTTCATGAAGGTACTTATTAAAAAATAAAGTGCTCAAAATTATTTCCATGAAACATCTACTTCGTTTTTAATTGAAGTTAAGAAATAATCTCAGGATGCGGAGAAGTTATAAACAAAGACAAACCAACTTATCCCATTTAACCTCCAACAATAATTTTATTATAATATTATTTCGTATTCGATTGGGAATGCACCAGTTCACATTTTGGAAAGAACTAACGTAATGCTGGTGCAAAACCAGTGCACCACCAGTTTTACGAATGGACTTGGCTATTAATGTCAATTCTGATTGAAACACTGAACTTTTTTCTATCGTCTGGGGAGGGGGGAGGTAATTACCCCTATCATCCCTCCCCCTTCCTTGTATACGCGCCTATTTTTCTTCCCCATGTAAGTAGCCCCACAATAATCTGATATCATCATCTGAAGTTGACTCTCCGAGTACCAATACGCGACATCCTCTATTCTATTACAGATACAACAATCAACAACTAACTCTATCGTCATCACAACACTTTAAATATTGGCCGCAGATGCCCGCGAACATATCAACCGTGGGCAACATCCCGAGTTTGGCCCAGCAAGGGATGTTGCCTGGCAACGCCGCTTTTTTCCCGCCCCCTATTCCCCAGATGCGCCTGCCCATGTCCAGCGTGGGCAGTCCTGTGGTCCCGAGGCTGCCCTTCTATCCTGCTGTCGCATCGCCCATGGGTAGCAGTCCGATCTTGAGCCACTCTCCTCAAATACAAGTGAGTGATGTCTTCTTTATTAATATGGAACAATTGATTCTGACCTTTTTTATGTTCTCCTCTCAAATAAGTCCTTCCACAGAGCAAAATACAGGGAGATTCTATAGTTAGTTATACTGGGTGAGTCAAAAATTCAAGATTTCTGGAGGTTATTGTTCATTGAAAAATAAGTATAGTTTCATGAATAAACTAATATCCCAAAATGAATATTAATTAAGATAAATCTTTCCAAAGTTGATGAAATTGAAATAATTTTCCCGCATAACTTCTAGACGGTAAAAACCAACAGATTGAAATTTAATGCATAAATGTATATTGATAAAATACATTTTTCTGATACACTTCGACATTTCTGATACTCACAAAGAAAGAAACTCAAAGTCATTACCACAATAGTTCATAAAATGAAGCTGGGACAGCCATGCACTGATGAGAGATTGTTTTGGAGTGTTTCTTTCCTTGCCAAGTGTTGTTCGCGTTCATCTCGCGGACGTTGAACGCCTCGTGGGGTATAAATGCTGAGATGCGTTTCTGTTGGGTCAGGTTCGCACCAGATAGCGGTCAAGAAGCTATCTGGGACAGCCGTGCACTGATGAGAGCCATTAGTTCGAAACCGTTCCTGAACCACTTGAGTGCAGCTCGGCGTTTAGGAAGGAAACACTTGCGATTTTATTCGTCTATACGAATTATTGCATAGATTTCGGAAGGATGTAATACAATGTTCTGCGTGGCATATAGCAAGGAAAGTAGTTGTTTTTCTCTCGTTATCTACCATTTTGGTTCATTTTATGAACTATTGTGGTAATGACTTTGTAATGATGAATTATTGAAATCAATTCATATTTAAACAGAAAGGATAATATAGTTTAGCACTTGACCAAGGGAATAAATTTCAATCCGAAAATCCTAATTATTGCTCAGATGAACAGTAGTCAAAAAGAACTCGTTTTAGTTTATGTGGCGATAAGCAAGTGAAATCGTGGGGTAAGTTATTAAGACGGTTAGCAATACAGTAAGAAAACGATCGTTTGAATGACTCAGTATGGTGACGAGGTAGAGTAAGAGTATTTCTATGTCTTAAGTCTATGTTTTGAACTTATAAGAGAGTGCGGCAACTGATATATTAATTCTTTACTGTGAATAAACTAAGCAAGATACGAAAACTCCATGGAACAGGAAATTTGTATTTTCTATTGTTGAATCGAAAAAAATATGAAACTTACTAAAAAGAAACACCCTTTAGAAATTGGCCTGAATATAATTGATGACGATCCATATTAATGATAATTTATATCTCGTTCTTTAGAATTTACTTTAGATATCAATTGAAAGATTAGGTTTAGATAGTTTCGTTGTTTATTTATGATAAAAACAGACAAGAGACTATAGTTTCAGATGAATATGAAATAAGAAATATGAACTATCAAAGTACTCACCTTATGTTATGTAGAGGTAATAGAAGATCTTTGAAGGATAATGTCACACCCTTTAACTTTGCTAATCGAGAGGTATTAGATAGCGTAGCCTCTGAGGCTTCACTCGATACTTGGCCACATGGCCAGATAATTGAATCGGATATGAAACAGAACCACTCCAGGAGATCAGTCGATGAGAACACAGAGGTCAGATAAAACAAAAACGAGCTTTATTTAAAACAAATGTGGGTTCTTACATAGATATTCAAATCGCCGACCCAACTGAACCAATGTCTCTCAGCCACAACTCGTACACCTGTATATTTCTCTAAGGGGTTCGTCGAGCCTCGATCTTCCAGACTACCCTTACTCTATCGCAGACGGATTGATAATGCCGTCCTTCGTTTCCTCAATCAGTTTTTTGTGAGTCAACTGCTGACTCTTTAGTTCTTCGCCAAAGTAGCCCAAAGTTAATGAACTTATTAATTAGTGTAATATTGTTGGTTATTATACTTTAGGTATTGGTGATATAAATCGATTGTGAAATAAAAGGTGGAGAATGTAGATCAGGGCATCAGGGAATACTAATAGTAATAATAATAGTAATAATAATAAATTCTCAAGTCAGAGTTGACAATTGATCATTCTAGAACACGTGATTTTGACATGATTTCTTGAGGGGCACACAAACTATCTGTTAAGTTACCTTTGATGAGCATAGCCCTGGTCATTCCTGCCACATCCACATAATAACAGTTTCACCAAACAAAATTATGAAATTATTTCTGGTTCCCACTCGGATTCCAAGGAAAACAATCCCACTAATTCTGGTTTTATATGACAAAATCTTCACAAAATACGATGTCTGCCCCCCAGCAACCTGTCAAATGACGTAATTCTGGAATAAATAATATTATTGTCCAGAAGGTGCTTGCTCTAGACCCACTAGACTCTAGTCGTCGTCTAGAGTCTAGTGGGTCATCCACATGAATCTGCCTGTATTATTATCATTCCATTCAGATGCAGATGCACATCGTTTTAGAATATACAATTATTTTGTTTCGTGCTTTCATCAACCATTATGATTATTAATCAAGACTCTAATTTTATGGTTCATAAACATGAATAATACACCTTTTTTACTTACGTGAATCGTGAATACAAACTATTGTGTTCGAAGGTATACACAGAAAGAAGCTTATCAAATTCATTTGTCATTAATCTTTGAAGAGTTATCAAATACAGGAACGATATTTGTTCGCCTATTACACCATAATAAACAACAAATCAGTATGTGTTTTCCTAGACTAGTATTTTCATTAAGAATTCCATATTCAACGTTGATAATCATTCTGTGAGAAACTTATCAACTTTTGTATGTAAATTTTTTTCACTATTTCAGTGATATCAGAAGATAAGAAGAAACGTGTTATTTATTGGTAGGTAACGACTGTGTGAATTGTTATCGTGTAGTATTTTTACCGATACTTGACAACGTGAAAGTAAGGAAATATTTTTAATTCTGATATTCTTCTAAATTGATTAATGTTGGTACATATTTTTATTGTTAACGAGATTGAGAAATAGAGAGTATGATTGAGATTATTGAATATATAATTCATGAAACTTATTCATCATCATAGGTTATGGAAATTGATGAATGAATTATCAATGACTGTCAGGGTGATCTATTTATTTGGAATGTTCAGTGGCTTGAAACATATCCAAATAATGTTTGATTATTTCTGAAAATTCCACTAGCGAGTAGAAGCCATCAAAAATGCCATTCAACAAGTTGAAATAACTTGAAAGGTGCAGACTTACTTGAATTGAGATCACTTTTTCGATGTATCATCAGTTTATTTGATTGTATAATTCAAAATGAATAATATATTTTCATTGTCACTTCTGAAATTTAATTGGAAAAAATACAGGGTGCTTCAAGATTCAGAATTCTGATCACCCTGTATCTGTTCCAATTAAATGTCAGTAGATAATGAATCGAAAGTTAAGATAGGGACATGTAAGCATTTTTGATCGATAATGAGTAGTTTCGACACAAAAAAAATCCTAAAATTGAAAAGTCTCGATTTTGAACACCCTATCTCTGTAATCATTCCTGATAGACCCCAAGTGTGATGCATTGATGAAATCAGCTCTTCATTAAGAATCTAAAAATAGTGAACTACCAAATTTTCAAATTCAGCCCACCTATGGTTTTCTATACAGTGTCATTCATAATGTCGGCATCATATGGGAAAAACTTTTATTAATGACTTATTTTGGAATTCGAGGTGGACGTTAAGTTTTGCTTCAAAAAAGATGAAAAATGGCCTACTCAATCGGGGTCACGTGACTTTCGCTACATGTCAAAAGTGAAATTTTTTCAAATTAATCGCTGAAAGTAGGCTTATTTGTTCGAATATCGAAAAAGTTTACTTGAATAAGTTGTTTCTATTCCAATTTTACACATTCTTCTCAAATTTGATTTCTCTATTGCAACTTTTAGATTTAGATTTTTTTCAAATTTTTTGAAATTTCTGTAATTTGAAGAATTGTTAATTCCACGAAACTTCTTCATACCAGTAGCTTTTTCATGCTTACTTACTTTCAATTACTTATTATATATATATATATCATATGTTTATGTATCCCTATTATAAACAAATATGTTTCTTGGGGTAATAAAGAACAACAACAACAACAAAATGATAATACCCGCTTACAAATTCTGTTATGTTTGATGCAAAGTTGATATATCGTCAAGCATTTAGAAACGAAATTCATTTAAACTGATCTTTTCAGTAGGTACTGAGAATAAAAATTAAATGAATTTTGATTCTTGATGCTTGACTCAAACATAACAGAATTCTGATGTTATGTTTGCATCAAACATAACAGAATTTTGAAGCGGAGATTATCATTTTCTGAAGAAAATCATATTTTTGTCGATAATTAGTAATTGAAAGCTAGTAGCATGATGAAACTACTGGTATGAAGTAGTTTTATCGAATTTATAATTTTTTTAATATTACAGAAATTTCGAAAATTTTCAAAAAATATCGAAATCTAAAAAATGTGATAGAAAGATAAAATCCGAGTCACATATGTAAAATTAAAAAAGAAACAACTTTTTCAAGTAAACTTTTTCGATATTCGAACGAATAAGCCAACTTTCAGCGATTAATTTGAAAAAAATGTCACTTTTGACATGTAGGGAAAGTCACGTGACTTCGATTGAGTAGGCCATTTTTCATCTTTTTTGAAGCAAAACTGAACGTCCAACTCGAATTTCAAAATAAGTCATTAATACAAGTTTTTCCCATATGATGCCGACTTTATGAATGACACTGTATACTGATCGATGCAGTTCCCGAAGGGACACCCTGTATAGATAGATACACACTTTTTTGTAGATACCACCAGCCCTGCCTCCGAAAAACCAACCGAGAACTCCGCCACCTCTGATAGTACCGAAAAGCTCGTCCATCGTCTCCAAACTGCCTACGAATCCGTCGATAAAGAGTCGAAAAAAAGTGGAGCCGAGTTCGCCGAATCTGATCGATTTCGCGCAGGCCGATATCAGGGACAGCGTCAGGGTGAGCATCCTGCAAGAGTTCGACCCGCTTTGCGAATCCTTCTACGGCACTGCCAGTTCCAGAGCCATAAGTCCAGACTGTTCAGGTGAGTGCAAGAACCAGATAACTCCTAAAATACAGGGTGATTTTTGCAATTTTCAGTCATATTTGCGATTTTTGCGATTTTTGCAATTTTCAGTCATTTTTGCGATTTTTGTAATTTTCAGGAATTTTTGCGATTTTTGCAATTTTCAGGAATTTTTGCTATTTTCAGGAATTTTTGCGATTTTTGCAATTTTCAGGAATTTTTGCGATTTTTGCAATTTTCAGGAATTTTTGCGATTTTTGCAATTTTCATAAATTTTTGCGGTTTTTGCAATTTTCAGTCATTTTTGCGATTTTTGCAATTTTCAGTCATTTTCGATTTTTGCAATTTTCAGGCATTTTTTCAATTTTTACAATTTTCAGTCATTTTTGCGATTTTTGCAATTTTCAGTCATTTTTGCGATTTTTGCAATTTTCAGTAATTTTTGCGATTTTTGCAATTTTCAGGAATTTTTGCGATTTTTGCT